TCTAATGTACGAAAATAAGTTTTCTAAAGTTTTTTCGAAAAAGTCAAAAATCGCTCCCGGGCCCATATGGTCAAAGCCCGAGATTCGAACCAAAATTCGATTGCCCATTCCCCCACGAACCCAAATATATGATTTGTTTTGAAATCGGACCTCAACTCGAGGTCCAAATCCCCAAAATTTGAAAAATCTAGGTTCTACCCAAAACACCCAATTTTTCCCATGAAAATCATTGATTTTGAGTTGAAATCAATAAAAAGATGTTAAAGATTAAAGAAAACAAGTTAGAAATGACTTACAATGGATTTGGAAGAGTACTTGTCTTTGAAAAATCGCCCAAGAGTGTTTTGGTTTGAAAGAGTTTGAAAAATGGTTGAAATGCGTCTAAGTTGTGAATTTACAAGTTGCAGGTATTGCAATTGCGACCAGGGTTCGCAATTGCGAACGCCTCAAACTGCTACTCTTGCATTTGCGACCAACTTTCGCATTTGTGAAGTCGTTTGCGAAACTTGTCGCATTTGCGATGACTGGCTTCTACTGAAGGCATCGCATTTGCGATGTGAACCTCGCATTTGCGAGGTAATGTTGGCCCTGGGTTTTTCGTATTTGCGACATAAGTCTCGCATTTGCGAGCCGGGCCTGCAATATACTAGCAAATTCCTAAGTGCAGATTTCACTCCGTGGCCTATTCAAAACTCACCCGAGCTCTCGGGGCTCCAAACCAAACATGCACACCAACCTAGAAATCTTATACGGACTTGCTCGTGGATTCAAATTACCAAAATAATATCAACGGCTATGAATGCATCAAAATCATGAAATCACTTAAGAACATCAAAATTTTCAATTTTCTCAAATAAGGTCTGATTCACGTCATTTCAAGTCCGTTTCTACCAAATTTCACAGACTTAACTTAAATCACATATAAGACATGTACCGGGCTCCGGAACTAGAATACGGGCTCGATACCATCAAATTTTAAACACATTTCATTTCCAAAAACTCATTAATATTCCAGAAAATAATTTTCTTTAAAAATTCATTTCTCGAGCTTGGGACCTCGGAATTCGATTCCGGACATACGCCCAAGCCCCATATTTTCCTACGAACCCTCCGGGACCGTCAAATCATAGGTCCGGGTCCGTTTACCCAAAATGTTGACCGAAGTCAACTTTAATTCAAATTTTAAAGACTAAATTAACATTTTCATCACATTTGCACATAAAAGCATTCCGGATATATGCCCGGATCGTGCACGCAAATCAAGGTGAGGAAAAATGAGGCTTCTAAGGCATGAGAACACGGAATTTACTCGTCACAGTAACGTGCATAGTAAGATTTGGATTTCATTTTATTACCAAATGTATGATAAAGTTATACAGCCACACGCCAAATGTTCATTTCTGTCAAAGAATTCATGGTTCTCATAATCACCACCTGGTGATGTGAACTTGGAATATCATTTGTGTTATATACTGTTCCTTCAACCTATTTATGTGAATATATTTGACCAGATGTGAAATTAAATAAATAAAAGACAAGGATTGTTATGTACATAAAGTAAATATATGTAAATTAATTACCTTTATTTTATTTTAACAACAATAAACGAGAGATTCTAAGAGTAAAATAGAGATGTTTAAAATGAAATAATTTTAATAAGAAATATACTCCGTCCGTTTCAATTTATGTGAACTTATGTCCTTTTTGGGTCGTTCCAAAAAGAATGATCCATTTCTAAATTTGAAAACAATTTAACTTAAACTTCCAATTCTATTCTTAATGAGAAGTTTTTATAATCACACAAATATTTTGATATGTTTAACACCACAAGTTTCAAAAGAATTGTAGCCATACAAATATTTTGACTTATTTAGAATCACAAGTTTCAAAAATTTTTACTTTTTTTCTTAAACTTTGTGCTCAGTCAAATAAATTCACCTCAATTGAAACGGAGGGAGTAACAATCTTTGGACGGACTAAATAGAAAAGAATACCACATAAGATGTGACCGAGACAAAGACAGAGACATTGGCAGAGACTCAGCCACCAAAGCAGAGTACACAGCTAGCTGGATGAGTGTACTAATTCTTCATTAAGTGGTCCAGTGAGTATCCTCTCCACATACTCAGCTATGAAATGAATGTGGTCACCTCTAGTTTGTGATTAGTGACTAACTAATATAGTACATATGTTGGGGAAACTATGAACATGGACTCTAAAATTATGTTCACTACTTGATTGTAGTTCAATGAAATCACAAGTACTCTTAACCCTACAATGGGTCCAATATTTGCTGCAGTTGGTGTACATTCAAACCTCTTTCTAACCATCGTATCTGTTTCGATTATTTTTTAGATGCTACAATGAAGTGTTGTCATTGAGGACATATATTATAACATAACATAAAAAATTAATTCTCAGAAAAATTTGACTTTTATAATGAATGATTGTTATGTATGAATGATATTATAGAAAGATCTGGTTGAATATAAACGTTCGTTAGATGAACAATCAATATAATTATGGTTGCAGTGGAATAACCACATGCATTTAGTAGTACATTATTTGTTATTGAACTTGTCTTGTGAAAAAGTTTCTTGAAACTTCATTTCACATTCAGCTTGATACTTGTGAGTGAAAAAGAGTACTAGCATTTGACAAGTTTGTATGCTTAGGATAGGATACCTTTCTTTCTTGGACGTATTGATGCAATTTTGTAGAACTTAAAAGTGTAAGCAAAAGAATAATGTAAGGGATCGGATGAATAATTTCATTGGAGTTAATAATGGCTGAATAAAGAAAATTGGAACTTTAGCTTTAATAAAGTGTGAGATTCTTCATTGCCAAAAAAAAAAGTGTGAGATTCTTGTATTATACCTCTCGCGAGACAACAAGACACAACCTAGTATTAAATGGTTTATAATTTGAATCGTGATGTTCAAATTTAAATTTCAGCAGTCTCTTCACCTATGCTGTACACTTAAATTTTTTTCTTAATCTCCTACTAACTTACTTGGGTATTAGGATGTGAATCATAAATTTTGTAGTACTCTCGAAACAAATGAAGGGAGTTGGGAAGAAGTAAAGGTAAAAATATTTTTCAGCTTTCTTACGCATCGTTCATTAATATATTTTACTACATTAGAATTAAATTGAGACAATAATGCTAGTGCAATAGGAAATGCCGCAAAGTTGTGCCCATTTCTCAATTATTGTGGAGAGAGATCCATATTATACTCCCTTCGTTGTCTTTTACTTGTCTACTATTAACTTTGCATACCTCTTAAGAAATACTCTATTCGGTCCGTAATAAGTGACCAATTTACTTTTGGCACGCCCATTAAAAAAATACTAAATTCTATACAAAAATACCTAGCATGACTAAACTACCCTTAATTAAATATTTAATGTGAGGAGTAAAAAAATTTTTTAGGGATATGTACAAAAGGATAATTTTGTAAAAACAAATTGAATTCTTTCTTGATTATATAAATGGACACTTATTTTGGACCAAAATAAAAAAATAAATTGATCACTTATTGTGGATCAGATGGAGTAATAAATAAAATGCGTAATTTATTATGATACACATATTAATTGGTATATTATTTTAATGAATTTAAAAGATGATTTGCAATGAATAATTAATGCTAACAGCAAAACAGCAAAAAAATAAATTATTTTTCTCTACGAAAAGTGACACAGCTGAAAGTGAATGGAGGGCTACTCCCTCTGTGTACCACGTCTCATTTATAGAAGGACAATTCAAACGGATTTTGAAGTTGAACGAAACACGATATTTTATATTTTTTTTGAAAGCACAATCTAAACATTAACGGATTATTTTACAAAAAAATACCAGTATATTAGTTCTAAGCTTTTCCGTAGCAAAATAACTGAATGTAATTAATTTAAGAATATTATTAGTTAAGGCATTATCAACCAAAAGCTAAACATGATGAATATTTGCCCAAATTAAGTTGAATAAGACATTTGGAAGACGAGAGACAGGAACGCTAAATCATTAATTGAGAGATTAGCAGACAAATAAATTGCTGAATTCAGCAAAACAAGACATCCAACAGTCATATCAGTCAATAATAGAGGAAAGACATTAATACAAATATTTAAGTCGTGCTTAAAATGGCTGCGGGAAACAGTGAAGTCATGATCAAATAATTAAGCACAACCAGCGACAGAGCTGAACACAAACCCTAGATAGTTCAGTACATCCCCCCAACTCCATGAATCTATGCTTTAAATGCAATTTCTCGTAAAAGAGCTTCTAATTAAGTACTCCGTTTCACATTAGTCGTCACGTTTCATTTTTTTAAAGTCAACTATATTAATTTTTGAAGTTAAATTGGATTATATTAGCTCAATATTATAAAATTAAAATTTAGATACTCAATACTATATGAAAAGTACTAGAAGTTACAATTTTTCTCATATCAATACAATAAAAAATACATTTTAAAATATTAATCAAAGTTTACATAGTTTGACTTTCCAAAAGTGAAACATGATAACTAATTTGAGAGGAATGGAGTAGTGGTTACCTTTTTAGTGCTAAGATTAGTTTACTCACATATCGACTATTTCATTAAAGACCCGCTACTTGCATCGAGTAAATTCTATTAGATTTTAAACTCTTATCTCTTCTTACGGATTTTGCCCGATTCATTAACCTCCGAGGCACACCTTGAGTGTAGTAAGTATAGTGATTACTACATTCATTGCTCAGTAATTTATTGCTATAAAAAGTTTTTGATTAAATATTCTTATTGGTTATTACCGCATAAAGATTATTACTTAAACCGTCGTTCAGTAGTCTATAGCTTTGAAGTTTTTGATGAATACTCAATTTTCAATCAAAGAAGCAATTATATACTGAGGAGGTCAAATATTTTGCTGCATTAGGGATATTATCCCTCAGTTTTGTGTAAATGAAAAACAGGACAACAATATATAAAAAAATGTATTAAAATAATGCCAAAACATATATAAAATAGAAAGTATATTATCTTCGTATTCATAGGAAACATATGATGTTCCATTACACATCACTACTAACATGCAAATAGAGCTGCGGGCTTACATGCTTACCCTATTCTTTTTGGGGTGCTTTTGCAGCCGCTTCAGCCTCCATTATCTTTTTCACTTTTACCATCACACCACTTCATAACAAAAAGACACTAAAGTAATAGAAAAAAGAAAAAACAATAGTTGACAAAGAAGATACTACTTCCCCCTCAGACTTCAAAATTTCCCAGTAAAAAAGAGAAACACTGAAGCCTAGGAAAAATCAGACGTAGGAATTTTTTTCTTCTTAAAATTTTGTGGTATAACTTTTAAGTAATTCTGCTCGTTGTTTTCGGGTCGGGTTAGTGATATTCTAGACCCGGAAATTTTTGCCCTCAAAGGTTTGTCCGAACTGCCAATTAGGTGGTGCCACGTTGGTCGAGGTGACACTGCGATGGTCACTGGCTTTAACCCTAATGGACAAGGCCTGGCCCACAAGAACAGCATTGGTTTGCCAATTTTGCCCCCAGTTTCGGCTCATTGCTATCCACTGTGTGTTTGTGCCTTTAATAAGAACCTTCTGAATGTCCCCTGCACCTGCCACGTTTGTCACCAATAGTAAATTGAAGTAACGGAACCCGTTTATTGTGAATCGGATCCCTCCTGCTTTTCTGCATGGTACTCTGAAAATTTTAAAATATAAAAAACAATTAGCAATAAGCATCAAAGGTGTGATAAAATGATAATAAATGTGTAGCTATAATTTTTTTATATAAAATACTCCTTCCGTTCCAATTACGTGAACCTGTTTGACTGACATAAAGTTTAAGGAAAAAAATAAAGACTTTTGAAATTTATAGTTCTAAACAAATAAGAATATTTGTATGGCTATAATTCTTTTGAAACTTGTGATAGTAGACATGTCAGAGTATTTGTGTGGTTATAAAAATTTCTAATTAAGAGTAAAATTGAAAGTTTAAACTAAATTATTTTTAAATTTAGGAAGGGATCATTCTTTTTGGAACGAACCAAAAAGAAAATAGATTCACATAAACTGAAACAAAAGGAGTATATATTTTAATCGCTCCTAAATATAATAGCCGACAATTATTAACACCCCAAAAATATTAACTTAATGATTAATGAAGTGCGTTAAAAATTATGAAAATCTCAAGTTTAATTCTCAATACACATAAAATTATTCTGGTAGTGCAAGCTGAGTCGAACATCATAATTATTTTCAAAAAATATTGAATTACAACAAAAATAGAACTAAAGAAAAAAATTGTTAGTAATAAACACTAGGCTGACCGTTATTTCAGGTAAAATGGGGCCCAGTGAATAGGTGCATGGATGGTGGGGCCAACAAGCGCGTGGGATAACGTGAGCCATGTTTCGAATCCCTGAATTCGAAGCAAGGAACAAATCCCAACTTCCTTAGGTTTACAGTTAGGAATGAGACAATTCCCTTGTTACCCTCAAAATCACCTAAAAACTGCAACTTTAACATTCCCTTACTTGCGCGGTGTACGAAAACGCGTGTTTCTTTGTTGGTCCATATTTACCTCTTGGTAGGGGACCAAACCCTAATTCAATAATTATAGTGATAATAAAACCACCCTCAACATGTTAGAGAATTGGTGGCTAGTTAATGCAAACCTATAATTGCTGTTGGTGCCCCAAATGGAACCACCTAAAATTTATGTTGCGCGAATTTTTCAAAATTATATATATTCAAGTCGGATCCTTAAAAAATATACTATTTTTGAAAAATTCAACACACACCTGGAGGTATTTAAAGAAAGTTCGAGCAATATAGGATAAAATATGGTACTCCATCACATTCCATCCATCAATTACAATTTATATGTTATTATTCTTTTATTAGTTTGAAGGGGAGCCTTAACATAACTGCTAAAGTTGCTGCCATGTGACCTTCGGTTCAAGCCGTGGAAACAGCTTCTTGCAGAAATGCAGGGTAAGGTTGCGTACATACAATAGACCCTTGTGGTCCGGCCATTTCCCGTACTCCGCGCATAGCGCGAGCTTAATGCACCAGGCTGTCCTTTTATTCTTTTATTAGTTTAATTTAATAAGAATTAATATAATTTTATATTTAAAATAATTTAACTTTTTTCATTTAAATTTAATAAGAAGCTTTCGTAGCCATACAAATCTTTTTTCATGCATTCATGGTTTTAATGCCATAAATTTAAAAACTTGCAACTATACATTAATATTTAAGATCACAAATTTCAAAAAAAAAAATTAAGTCTTGTGTTGAGTTATATCCAAAATAATAAATACTTGTGTAAATGAGTAACAGTAATTCAGAAGCTAATACAAACTTGTGATACTAAGATTGGAATTATAACTTGAAATGGAACACTATTATGTTAGTTATAGTTCAACATACTCTCAAGGGTTAGCATTGAATTACAGTATGGTTAAAAATTGTGAAAAATAGGTGGCCATAAAATAAAATCTTATTTTCTGCCCATAAAATAAAATCTTATTATTGGCCGCTATCCCCATTAATTCCCCATCCCACGATTTTCTCAACACATAAAATCTTTTCACATAAGGAAAAAAAATTATCTTTTCCCATACGCAATTCTGCAATGTCAAAAATACCCCTCATAAAAGAGCCAAGTATTTTTATGCAAGACAAAAAGGACATTACATATTGGTGCAAACCACAAAAGCAGTTAGGCGAATAACGTAAAGAGTAGGACTGTACTTTGACAGAAAACTAATCCAAATCGAAAATTGAACCAAATCGATTAAGTAAACCGATATTTTTCTTGGTTTGAATTGATTTTGGTTTTAATTTTAAAAACCGATAATATTTGATTTGGTTTTGGTTCTATTATAAAAAATTTGGTTCTATTATAAAAAATCAAAAAAACCGAACCGAACCGATTAATTATATAAAAATATGAATAATTATTGATATATGATATAATATTTTTTTCTAAATAATTTTAAATACTTTATGCATTTTAATTATTATTTTGAATTTTGATTTATATTACTTATATCTTAAAAGATTGTCTAAGCCCAAAAAAATAGGAATCAGCCAATTTTCTTTTCCTTGAAAGAATCTAATTCTCTAACCTACACACATATTTTTTCCTAATAATAGAGTTAGAAAAAAAAATCTACGACAAGAATAAAGAAAACAAACTCAAATTGCAAGACTATTGTAGCTAAAGCTTGAGAAAGTAAACTTTTAATTTGTTTTTTGTTCATTTTTCGTATAACTAGATAAATAAACTTTCAGTTCCAAAATAAATATATAAAAAAGCATAATTTAGCAAATTATTTTTAGATTGTTGTCTAGTGTTGTTTTACTATTATCGCCTTATCATTAGCTTACTAGGAACCGAAAAATCGCACCAAATCAACAACAACCAAATCGATAGTTTGTATGTAATTTGGTTTAGTTTTGGTGTTAAAATTTTAAAAACCGATTAATAGTTTGGTTTTGATTTAAATCAAAAACCGGGTTTGGTGAAACCTCCTAGTAAAGAGCAATAAAGAAGTAGCAACAGAAAAAGGATAGGAATGTGTATCGGAAAACTTACCGGCGGTAAGTGACAGGGACAATCCCGGCACGGTACTGACCAATTTTGAGAAACATAGGCATAGCTAAGTCAAAATGAGGACGGGGTGGGTTACACCACCCACCGTCGTCGTTCGGCAAAGCAAAATTTGGTGGGCAAAAGTTTGTAGCCGTGACGAAAATGGACGGGTTACCGGGAAGGCACCATTTTCCATCATCAACACACTTAATTTCAAAGCAAGCTCCACAGCTTAGTCCATTGTTGAATAGGACTGTGCTTAGTGCTGCATTGTTCACTCCGTACCCTTGGCTGTACAGATTTCCATATCCACAAGCTCCACCTGTCAAAAAATTTCAAACATTCGCCCATACATTAAAAAAAAACACCTAATTAAATGTCGATAATGTGCAGGGAGAGAGAATATATAGTAAATACCCATAGTGCCAGAGGCGTCGGAGCCACCGTAGAAGGTGGCATGGGCGCCTTGCCAGGGGCCGCCGGTGTAAACTCCGGGGATTTTTGCATTGACGGCGGTGAGAAAACAGAGAAGAGTAGCAGCAATGCAGAGTATCTTAGTTACAGCCATTTTCTCACACACTAAAGTGTTTCAGTGTGTGAACAAGTAAACAGGGAGAGAGAAGAGGGAAATGGAAATGGAAAAGGAAAAGGGATTTTGGAGGTGAATGAAGAGCGGGAGGGAAGTGAGGGGGTACTTATTGAGCGGAGAGGGTCTAAAGGCTTAGAAGGAAAGTCACAAGGGCAGGGCATGTAATTAATGCTATGTTTTTTTTTTTTTTGTTGGTAAATTTAATTGTTTTTACAAAATTCTTTTTATGAATGAAATTTTGTGTTACAAGTAAGACATGTGAGTTGCACGTGGTGATGAAGAGACCTAGCTCGTGAAGATTGTATTAAAGAACCGGGAGATTGTTGATTGTGTGGTTAGCATAATTTTTTAATACTAGGATTAGGATTGTGGTGGGATGAATGAATTTCTTTCACTTTTAATATGAAATTTTAGGTTCGAATCCTAAGAATAAAAAAAATCTTAGTAGGGAGTGCTTTCTCCTTTAATGTACCTTACATGATACGAATTTAAATTAGTCGGACACCAGATGTGAAATAAAATAACAATTCCTATTATCGTTTATTTGTTTCGTTTTATATGATATTATTAATATTTGTAATGCCAAACAATTTTTTCTTTTATTACGTCGTTGTATATTCTATGAATTTAATCAACTAAGTTGTGATTTAGAATATTTTTTTAATTTTTGTACTTGCGAATTATATGGGGGGTTTGATTTTACAACAAAAGTATTGATGCTTTGATTCTCGACTTTTGAATCTTATCATTATTTTTGGAAGAGAGAAACAGGATGACAAATGAAAGGGTTCACTAAATTCTTATTGCCTTTTGTTGCTTGACTATGTAATTTGAGCAAGTTGCTTAGGATATTTTGCATATGATAATACATTAGATGCGACGGCAACTAAACCAAGTACTACTATAGCAACTAGTTATCGAAAAATTAGATATCTTTACAATACCACCATATCTTTTTTCACCGCCACTCAACGGCATTAGTTGCTAAAGTAAAATCATTTTTGGTTTGTTAAACGAATTGCGAGAGATTTACCTTCTTTTTCGAGCTTAGAATATTGGCAATACCTTATTTAACTCCAAAAGATTGCATGCTAACTATAATATATATTTGTTTACCCTCAAAATCGGATAATAATTAAATTTATACGCGATTTTAAGGATACATAATATAACTTGATACAAATTGAAGAAACGGATTAAAATTGAAATTAATGATAGTAGAATAAATACAAACCACACAATTTGAACAGTCTTAGCCTTGAAGGTTGGTCACCCTCGAGTCAAGAAATACCTCAATCGATGTCGAAGCAAAATGACAAGATAATAAGAACTAGAAATAATAGTATATTGTTTTGGGGTGCGTGTTGCCAATGTGTGTTACAAACGATTAGACCCCCTTTATATAGTAGGGGAGTCCTACCGTAGATATAATTCTATAAAAGGTACAAAATCTCATAATTTGCTAACTAATTGGCCTCTCCTTGATACGTGCCGAGATTTTCGCCGTGTTATCCGGTCGATTGCAAATATTTTGGCCTTCCATTATTTGGCTCGATAAAGTCTCCTCGATCTTGTTCGGGGTCGGGGTCAGTTCCGGAGTCACAAGCTCGATGATCTAACTTCGTGCCTTAATTCGATATAATTCGGGGTCGAGTTTCAGCCTGTCACATTTCAGTCCTGACCTACCATGCCATAGATGAGCCCGGTTTCGACCGTGTATAATATTCACATACTTGATCTGTCACGACCCGGATTTTTCACCCTCGGGAGCCGTGATGGCGCCTACTCGTGAAAGCTACGCAAGCCAACCGTTTGAACAAATTACCTTTTTCCCATTTTATTCCTTTAACAAATATGAATCAACAGTTTATAAACATCGGAATTTAAACGAGCGGAAGAAACAATAAAACCATCTAAATATTTTCAATACAATTTCCTAAACAAAGACTACCCAAAACTGGTGTCACAACTTCACAGACGGTCTAGGAATATTGCAAACAAGGTCCTAAAAATAAATGCGACACTGTTTCTGAAATATGAAAATAAAATGGAATGAAAGGATAGAGGGAGACGCCAGGACCTGCGGACGCCTGAAGGACTATCATGGATCTCCGAATGGACTGAAGGCAGCCTTCCAAATCTACGGTCCGAAAGCTGCAGCATAGGGATCTGCACACAGTGCAGAATGTAGTATCAGCACAACCGACCACATGTGTTGGTAAGTGCCTAGCCTAACCTCGGCGAAGTAGTGACGAGGCTAGGACTAGACTAGCAATTAAACCTGTGCAGTTAAATCATATACGACAGAAAGTAAAAGCAGAAATGTACAGTTAGGAATGAGAGGGGAAAACATATTGCAGGGAAACATCAATTAACAATAGAAAGACAGCAAGCAAATACGAGGAACACCATATCTCAATTATCAACAAGAACCAGAAATCAAACAAGTGCACGACATCACCCTTCATGATTTTACTCTCGTCCTCACTATAAGAATCAATATAAATTGCACGGCATCACCCTTCGTGCTTTTACTCTCGTCCTCACCATAAAATGAATATAATCGGTACGGAATTGTACATTGTGAGGCACGACATCACCCTTCCTGCTTTTACACTCTTCCTCACAAAATCATATACGACATCACCCTTCATGCTTTAACGTTCTCTCACCAAGACAATGCACGACATCACCCTTCGTGCTTTAACACTCTTCGTCACCCAAACAACAATCACAAGCAATAGGGCAAGGAAGTAATTAAAATTTCAATAAAATCCCGGCACGGGAACAATAGTTCAACAATCAAATCCCGGCACAGGAACAATATCAAACACATCAACATCCCGGCAAGGGAGATAGCATTAAAAGCAACAACATCCCAGCAAGGGAGACAATATAACAATTCTCTTCTCCTTTTCACTTTTACTTTACAACTCACTTCACAACTTGAGCCAATGCTCTATAAGGTTCAATTGCCAATTATACTTCCACAATTCATTATACAACTTGAGCCAACGCTCCTCAATGTTCAAATACCACTATTACTTCCACAAGCTTTGCTCAACAATAGAAATCATCACATAAGACATGAACAATACAAACGGAATCACATTAGTCATAGAATAAGACTCGCGGGCATGCTTGACACCAACGTATAGATACTCGTCACCATGACTATACATCATACTCAACAAATAACACATAGCAAATAGGACACAACTCCCAATCCCTCAAGCTAGGGTAGACCAAACACTTACCTCGATGCCACGAACACAATTCAAGTCTCAACTATCGCTTTACCTATTGATTCCACCACCAATTCACTCGTATGTAGCCACAAGTTACTTAACTATATCAATAAATTCTAAATGGATCAATTTCAATGCATGAAAATAGGTTTTCTAAAGTTTTTCCCAAAAATTCAAAAATTGCCCCCGGGCCCACATGGTCAAAATCCGAGGTTCGAACCTAAAATCGATTATCCATTCCCCTACGAACACAAATATATAATTTGTTTCGAAATCGGATCTCAAATTGAGGTCCAAATCCCCAAAATTTGAAAAACCTAGGTTCTACCCAAAACACCCAATTTCCCCCATGAAAACCTTCGATTTTGAGTTGAAATCATGAGAAAAGATGTTAAAGATCGATTAAAACAAGTTAAAAATGACTTACAACCGAGTTGGAAGAGTACTTGTCTTTGAAAAATCGCCCAAGAGTGTTTTGGTTTTGAAAGGGTTTGAAAAATGGTTGAAATGCGTCTAAGTTATGATTTTGCAGGTTGCAAGGGTCGCAATTGCGAACCCCTCACACAGCTACTCTCGCATTTGCGAACTCGCTTTTGCAATGGAATTGTCGCATTTGCGATACTGGAGGATTCCAGGCCACTTCGTGTGATTGGCCTTTCGCATTTGCGACATCGCTTTTGCGATGACTACGTCGCATTTGCGAACCCAAGGCAGACTAGGTCTTTTCTCATTTGCGGCAATTTTCTCGCATCTGCGGTGCGAAGCCAACAGACCTGCAACATACCAGCTAAAACCCGCAATATCCTAAGTTAAATTCTACTCCGTGGCCTATCCAAAACTCACTCGAGCCCTCGGTGCTCCAAACCAAACATGCACACCAACCTAAAAATATCATACGGACTTGCTCGTGCAACCAAATCATGAAAATAACGTGTAAAACTATGAATTTAAACCTCAAAACTCATAATTTTCATCAAGAACACTTTAAAGTTCATAACTCTTCGACCGGAGGTCCAAATCACGTCAAATAAACTCCATTTTTCACCAAATTTCACAGTTATCATTTAAATACTATAACAAGTTTGTACCGGGCTCCGAAAACAAAATACAGGCCCGATACCAATGATTTCAAATATTAATTCTTTTCTTTATTTTATAAATAATTCAGCAAAATAATTTCTTTCAAAAATTAATTTCTAAGGCTTGGGACCTCGGAATTTATTTTCGGGCATACGCCCAAGTCCCATATTTTACTGCAGACCTCCCGAGATCGTCGAAACACAGATCCGGGTCTGTTTGCTCAAAATATTGACCAAAGTCAACCATGATTAGATTTTAACTCTAGAAATTGCTATTTCTCGTATTTTCACATAAAAGGATTTCCGGATATAGGTCCGGACCATGCACACAAATCGAGATGAGGTAAAAAGGAGGTTTTAAGGCTTCGGAACACAAGATTTATTTCTAAAACAAGTGATGACCTTTTGGGGCATCACATCGTCCACCTCTAAAATAATCGTTCGTCATCGAACGGACATAAGAAGGAAGTACCTGAGTCGGGGAAAAGATGGGGATAACAGCCCCGTATATCAGACTCGGACTCCCAGGTCGACGCCTCAGCAGGCTGACCTCTCCACTGAAAACGAACAGAAGGGAAACTCTTCGATCTCAACTGACGAACCTGCCGGTCTAGAATAGCTACCGGCTCCTCCTCATAGGACAAGTCCTTGTCCAACTAGACAGTGCTGAAATATAACACGTGGGATGGTTCGCCGTGATACTTCCGAAGCATAGACACATGAAACACTGGATGTACAACTGATAAGCTCGGCGGCAACGCAAGTCTGTAAG